ACGGTAGTTTTATTATTACTTATCAAACTCAATATTATTTGTTTGTTTTATTATTTTGAAATGTAATACTTTGAATGTACGGAGCAGAATCAGCACGGAAAATATGTATCATTTTAAGTATTATTTAGGGGGAAGATAAAAAGTTATCATACTTCAATCTGGGTTTACAGGAGAAATATTGTATTAGATAGAAAGGATAAGTAGGTGATTGAAAGAAAACGGACCAAAGATGCAAATATAATTATTTAATTGAGATGGAATAAATAAAATAGAATTAAAAGAATGAGTAGGAGAGAGAAAATATATGGAAAATAGAGAATGTTAATTAAGATATGAGATAGTATATTAAGTGAGTATAAATTTTGATTGATGTCTGTATAAAAAGAGTTAACTCGGGGTAAGCCGCCTTCCAAAAAGAAGTTTTATGTATTTATGTTTTGTGTAATGTTTGTTTAAGTCTGACAGGATGTGGAAGAATACTAATGAAAATATATTCAATGAGTATACATTTTTAAGGCAGAAGAAATATGATTAAATAGAAGGAAAGGGAGAAATAAAGAAAAGTTTTGAAAAGATATGATTAGATAAGAAAATATATATATAGAAGTGTGATAATTTGGAATTATCTTCTTTTTAAATAAGATGGTTTATTTGTTTCTTCTAGAAAAGATATTTTATGTTACTACATCCTATGTTTTATTTGTGTGTTTAAAAAAAAAATTAATAAAGTTTGTTTAAAAAAAAAAGAGAGAAATTGGGTTGTTTTGCATAGAAACACCCAATTATATTCAGAACTAATACTGAATGATGATTATAGTAAATATGTGGGAGTGGAAGCTACTTTGCATGGGGCCTAGTATAATTATTTGATATGACATCCTGTCACAAATTAGGCTGTCATGCAAAATATGGTATGTAATTAGATGCTGCAGTGGAATTACTGAAATGTACAAATGAGTATAGAGATCAAAGGTTCCTTTAAAAACAGCAAAAGTTTAAAAGATGATCCAAAATATAAATTTCACATTTCTAGGTTCCTTAATGATGTGATGAATGAAACAATTGTGCAATTAAAGGAGTTTAGGAGCAGATATGGAATTATATTTGATATCAATTCATTAACAAACATGAGTGGTGGAAGTATTGAAAAATAATGCAAAATTGTGTCTTCACACCATAAGACAGAATTGATTCTGTCAGACTGATGACTTTAATACAGTTTCTTTAATATATATATATAGCTTCAGAATATCTTCAATATATGTCTGTCTGTCATCTATCATCTATCTGTCTGTCTGTCTAGTAGTTTGCATTCTTCTCATTGTACAGTAACAATTGTGTCTGATGGAGGTCATTTTCAAAATTGAAAATGTAATTTGTGCTAAATAGCTGACTACATAATGATCCCAAGTGAAAACACAGCTGGAAAAAAATAGATTAGATTTTATTGAGGATTTCTCATATAAAAAGGAAAAGTTTCATTTCAGTAAACTATAGTCATAGTGTTCGCTTACGAAATCAAATAAATCCAGACATTTTTCATCCTTCACTATAACTACACTTTCTATGGTCTAAACTCCTGGGATTTTGTCTTCAGGAAACCCACTCTGGACTTCATTGCATAGGAAATAAGTATCTGCAATGGAACTGAAAATTCTGCACATCTTCAGTTTACTTACAAGATATGACTAAAATAATAGAAGAAATCCAGAAAGGGTAACTAAATAAGGGCTGTTTTAAAAGTCCTTCTCCACTTGATGTCACTACAATCCAGCATTCAATTGCAAGACAACCAGCATCATGGGAAGAAATAAAGTTTGATGAAGGATAACTTGAAAAAGACATAATGTCCTAGTTGAAACCACAAAACCTCTCAAACCAAACTTTTTGCAGTTAAATGGTGGTAGAACTGTTACTCTGACTAAATTAAATTTTGTGCACAGTGAGCTATCTTTATATATATATATATATATATATATATTCTTAAGTTTTCGCGGGTACTTACATGTATGGTATTCAGCTTTGTTCGGGTATTTTCCCACATCATTATAATTGTGCTTTTAAAGTTGTAGCAACGTTTCGGCAGAATCTCATCTGCCATCATCAGGCTTCTGTATTGTGTTCGTCTGTATATATATTTATAGATTACATTACAGAATAACAGAGTTGAAAGAGACATTGGAGGTCCTCTAGTCCAACCTCCTGCTGAACTAGTAAATCCTCTACCATTCCAGACAAATGGCTGTCCAGTCTCTTCTTAAAGGACTCCAATGATGGAGCATTCAGAGCTTCTGGAGACGAGTCATTCCACTGATTAATTGTTCTAATTGTCAGGAAAGTTCTCTTTAGTTCTAGGTTGCTACTCTCCTTGATTAATTTCCATCCATTGTTTCTTGTCTTGCCCTCAGGTGCTTTGGAGAATAACTTGAGTCTCTCTTCTTTGTGGCTGTGATGACCCAGGGTGGGATACAAAACAAACACAGTCACAGAAAATAGGTGAAGCCCCTTTTATTCCTTCATTTTGCTTCCAAGCTCCGAATATCTTTGACGGAAGACAAAAAAATTCCCGCACAGTTACATGAAGAAGGAAGAAAACAACACAAACCAGGCAAGATCAGGGCTGGAGGATGTCCACAGATAACACATACTTGTAAGGACGCCAAACTCAGAGAGGAACTATAAACTAGAGATATTTACACGCTTTGTTTCCAGCATTTGCCAGTACGCAGGTCCATACTCTTATTCAGTTGTCACAGCTGCAGCCCATGAAAAGGATCAAGGCTCTCTCCTCCCAAGTAGACCACATCTCTCCCTTATCCTCTCCTCCCTGAGTGCCTTAGGATGGAGAGGAGATGGGCCTGGGTCCTCCTCTGACTGCTCAGCTGGTCTCTGCCCTTCCCTAGCCTCCTCCAGAACCTCCGGAGCCACACTTCCACACTCTGTCGGCTGTTCCTCCTCTCCCTCAGAGTCAGTCTCCACCAGGGGCACGACAGTGGCAACCTGTGAGATATCAGAACACTGCCATCACCCCTAGTCCTTCTTTTCACTAAACTAGACATACCCAGTTCCAGCAACCGTTCTTTATATGTTTTAGCCTCCAGCCCCCTAATCATCTTTGTTGCTCTTCTCTGCATTCTTTCTAGAGTCTCAACAACTTTTTTATATTGTGGCAACCAAAACTGGATGCAGTATTCCAAGTGTGGTCTTACCAAGGCATTATAAAGTAGCATTAACACTTCACGTGATCTTGATTCTATCCCTCTGTTAATGCAGCCTAGATCTGTGTTGGCTTTTTTTGGTAGCTGCAGTATACTGCTGGCTCATATTTAAGCGATTGTCCACTAGGCCTCCAAGATCCCTCTCACAGTTACTACTATTAACTTTTATTTTATTTTTATTTTTATTTGTCAATTGCTTACAAGATAATAGGTATAAGTAAAAACATAGTTATGAATACATGGATACATATAAGAAAAATAAAAAATATATAAAAGAAACAATAGGACAGGGACGGTAGGCATGTTGGTGCGCTTATGCACGCCCCCTACAGACCTCTTAGGAAAGGGGTGAGGTCAATAGAAGACAGTCTAAGGTTAAAGTTTTTGGGGTTTGGGGAAAAAACCACAGAGTCAGGTAGAGTATTCCAGACATTGACCACTCTGTTGCTGAAGTCGTATTTCCTGCAATCAACTGACTTATATGTTGACCCCACTGGCTTTAAATTAGTCATGGAGGCAAATAGGAAGGCAACATTGCAGAGGTCTAAGGGAATGGCCTTGAGGGAAAGGAGGAAGTGCTTCTACCAAGACAACGATCAGATGAAAGGGGCCCAAGTCCAGGGCAAGAACGAGTAAATGTTTCAGACCAGCCCCTCCCTATTTCACATGAAGATTAAGGAAGAGGGAGAAACACATTCAGACTTACAAGATTCTATTATTATAGTTTTACAATAAAAGTAGTATTGTCCTCTGTGGCTTTGGTTTCCTAACCCTAACCCTAGTCTGATCTACCTTGATGGCTGACAATGCTGAAGACAAAATGAGAACATTTCCCACAGTAGGTTCTTGCAGTGATATATTTCATACCTACGTTTGTCACCCAACTGGAGAGCAAGTATCCTGGACAATTTGGGGATCTTTACCACTATCTTTTCTGTTTAAACATTCTAAAATTTATCATTTCAACTGCTTTCAATGTGCTATCAGCTACAGAAAGGGTGGCTGATTTTCTGTATTACCTGTGTTGCAGATTTTAATGCGATGCCTCATTTTTTACTCTGTGGTCACAGTATACACATTGCCTTAAGGTATTATCGAAGAATTGATTTTACAAATGGAGAGTAGTTAGTTGTTGTGTATGTATTTATATGTGTATCTGGGTTTTAAGATGGTATTTGGTCATAGCGGCTTTAAAGGGTCTGTTCTGTGAATTTGGCTTGGAAATGTTGGGAAGAACGTTGGCTGGTAGACACAAATGAGTGCTTGGAGTGGTCCTGGATCTAGTGGCTGTACAGTATTGGCTTGGATGGACCCAGATCTGTAACCCAGGAGTTTGGCTGGCTGCAGAAAGTGAAGTTTAACTGGTGGGATTCAATTTTTTTTACTACTGGTTCTGTGGGCGTGGCTTGGTAGGTGTGGCATGGCTTGGTGGGTGTGGTATGGGAAGGACATTGCAAAATCTCCATTCCCACCCCACTCCAGGGGAAGGATACTGTAAAATCTCCATTCCCTCCCCACCCCACTAACCTGCTTTCCAGCTCCATTCTCCTGTGCAGGGCAACAAAAAAAGACCCAGCTGATCAGCTGGGACTTGGGAGGCGGAGAATAGATGGGGGCAGGACCAGTCAGAGGTGGTATTCCGAACTACTCAAAATTTCCACTACCGGTTCTCCAGAACTGGTCAGAACCTGATGAATACCACCTCTGGCTTAGGAGAGAATTGGGAGAATTTAATTGTCATTGGCATAGGAATACTGAAAACATCTGATTACTAAATTATCTCATCTGGCAGGTATGGTGACAACAATAGCAAATAAAGCAATTGACTCATCTCTGCTGTTTGGTGGAGCTGCAGCTGCCTTTAAAGGTAAGGTGGGTTACTATTATTGGCAATGACAAATCTAAAAGCTAGGATACCTGATGAAGGAGATCTCAGGAGGTTTGAAAGCTTCACTGCAGGAAAGCTGGAGCTCACAGTAATGGTGGAACTGAGAGGAGCTGCAGATTTTACCACCATCTGCACTATGACTTTGATGCTGGCACCCAGGGGAGACATTGGAACCAGTAATGTTCCTAGACGCTCAGAAGCTTCATTTAATCCAAAAGGCAGCAGCCCAGTTACTCTTGTCATCGTGAGCCTATCACATCTATGCTCTGGGCTCTGCAGAAGCTTCCTATGAGCTTCTGGCTACAATTCAAAATATTTGTTGTTAGCTGAAAAGTCTTTCGCTTCTTGGCAGCAAGCCACTTTGCAAAGCACCTCCTCCTAAGGATATAATCCACCTGGAAGAACCTGCTGATCCTGATGGATAACAGAACATCTAGCATTGTTTGATTTATTTTAGGCACCTAATTTAATGGTTTATAATGTTTATTTGAGTCTTGCTGTGGATGTTTTAATTCTGAGGCCTTGTGTTTATTTGCTCTTAGTTGTTGTAAACTGCCAAGCCTCTGATCAATTGCAGTGGGCATAAATGAAACAAATAAAATGTAAAATGGATGGATGAATTAGACAGATAATGGTTTAAGTATTTTCATTCACAAAGCTTAAAATAATTTTTGGTTCAATTAATTTTTAAACTAGGTCAGATAAACAAGAAAAGTTCAGCATTCTTTATTAACCAGTTTTCTTTTAGTATAATAATTAAACAGCTTGAAAAACTCATGGGACTTTGTTTTTGTATATATAACTGTAGCAAGATTATTACATGCTCAAAAATGGAAAGGTTTAGCACTACTCACAATGGAGGAATGGCTGAAGATGATGGAACTTGCAGAGGTGGCTAAATGGCCTTTTTTGATAATAGAAAATAAAACATCTACATTTACTGCTGACTGGAAACCCCTTATAGACTTTCTGCATGAAACACCTAACCTTTTGATTTGTGGTTCTGATAATTAGAAAATATTAGGTAATAGAAAAAGGAGGGCTTTTTGTAACCATAAAGAGATATTTTTGTATTTGCTACAGAAGAAAATTGGAAGCTTCTTTCTATAACTTTTTTCTTTTTGTACCTTTGTTCTTTCTTTCTTTTCCTTTCTTTCCTTACTTTTTAATGGTTTTTGATAGTTTTTTAATCTTCTTTCTAAAACTTGTAATAAAATGTATATAAAAATAACCTGTAAAATAAGGGTGGATTGTTAAAATGAAAAATTATTTGCCTGCTTATACACAGTCTAACAAACTATAAACATTTCAGAAAGGTTGACTCCTAGCCAATTTATAGCAGTCCAGTACCACAGAAAAGTTTAGGTTCCTCTTATTTTACTACCCTATTTTTTTAAAAAATAAAGATCAAGTTCATTTCCTGACTGTTAGGGATAGTGGGAAGTAATGTGGTTTGGCATAACAATGATCATGCATAATTTCCCCCAATTAACAGGATGCTTCAAATGTCTCTTAGACAATGAAAACCAGCACCTGGGGTTTCAAAATACAAAGTGATAGTAACATAGACAGAGATTTCTCTATTATTTTTTAAAACTTAAATGATAGGAATGAAACAATTTCCTTTCAGAATTATTTTAATATAGATACTTTTTGGAAAATTGCATCTCTGGCTGGTAGCTTCAAGAAACTTACAGTTAGCCACATAAGTCCTGTCAGCAGTTCTTCTCTGCAGCATGGATAAATGTCCCGAAATCTGAGAAATTCCAGAGTCTAGGAAATCTTAATAAAAACAGCCACGTCCACAAGAGGCACTGAATAATTCCTAAGGAAGGTTCCCCCATCAAACATCTGGGCAGTGTTGGTATCCATCCATTTCTGACCTTCTCTAGGTAGGTAGATATCCCTCTGGAATTGCCCTTGTTCTGTTACTGGAGCAACCAGAACCTGCATTTAACAAAGATAATCTCATTAATATTATCTGAGAGACAAAATGTGTATAAATATAGTTGGTCTTAACACAGAAGATATGAAGCTCACTTGAAACTTGTCCACCAATACTTGATCAGACCAGCTCTAGGCACATCACAAAATTGCCCAGACAGACACACTTTAAAACAGTAAGAGACATTTTTATCCTACACCTGTAATTCCAATTTTTTACTTTATGTATAAAATATTTAAGACTTATAATTGCAATGTAGTCATTTCTATTATGCGATGATATATATTGACTATATAATATGGGAAATTCTCTTTTGTCTAAAGTAGAAGTTTCAAGGAAAGGAGTCCAGAGGGAGACAAAAAAACCTGCTCTGCTTATTTTTAATATTTAACAACCAGATGATTTAAAGAATTAGAGCAAAAATATTTATTTAAAGGTTTGTCATTGATTTTTAAATCAACACTGCAAATTTAAGTAGGTATTATTATACACCCCAGCGCTTCAGATGCTTATCAAATCCAAAATAATAAAGAAGATACAGGATCTAGGCAGCAAAAATTCAATAGGTAAGGTAACTCTATGGTAAAGATTTTCTTAACTGGAATAAAGAGAACACTGGAGATCCTGCCATGTAGCAGTATTACAGCAAAAGATATTAAAGATCAATGTTTTGTTGCCTCGATACAACAGCAATTATTTTTTTAGATGAATCATAATCAACAAATAAAAATGCTTCAACATTTAATTAGATATTGGCTGTATTTGAACTTTAACTAAAAAAGTAATTAAAGCATTAATTATTCTCTCATCTCTTCCCAGATGCCTGTTAATACTAATTAATGATATGACATAGCACACAATTATCTTAACCATGTTGACAAACAAAGTTTGAAATAGTTGGGATTATTAGGGTCCAAAATATCTCATAGAAATATGCGTTGTAAACAAGAGAGCTGTGCATTGCTTTGGCTTTGATTCAGAAAGGCATTTTAGAGTGTGAAGTGGTGTGAATACAGCACTGGCTTACAATTCCTTAAAGTAGTTTTGGCTTTCCATGTGTCACGAGGAAATTGCAGAGGACAGCCATGCAAATCAGTGAAATGACATAGTTGCTTTAAAGATTAGCAGACAAAATGCTATGCTCACACTCCAAGACAATTTTTGGAATCAAATCTGAATAGCTTTCAACACTATTTAGATCACAAAGGAGCAACCACATCATTCACTTCTCTTGTGCTGATCCTTAACCTGCAGCATAAGGGTGCTATTAAATGGTTGTATCCTTCTCTTTATTGTGTGCAAGGCAAGTTAAGGAATGGGATGGGTGGATTCTATCACCATAGTTTTGCTTGCTTTCTACCAAATGTCACCTGGCCATGACAAAGCATCCATCAGTCACCCTCTTAATTGGGATGGAAATGAGATAGGAAGAAACAGTTTTGATGGACTAGCAGATTTGATCATCTCTCAAAGTTTCTCCAAGCTTTGCACACGGGATTTTTAGGATTGGGAGAAGAATTAGCTGAAGGAAAGGACATGACAATCTACCGACTGGGTCTCCAATCCTATGGAGCTTATCCGTTCAGTTACAGGGTATGTAAAAAGCCTGTTCTTTACTCACAGTTTTTTGCAACACTGTGCAATGAAACAGCAAAGATCCTACTTCAGTGTTCAGCTTGTTAGGCTCCCACTGCTCGATAGGCTTTTTAAAGCTACTTTTAAACATAACAGTAGTATTCTTTTGAACAAGTGCTAAAGCCATATACAGGCACCTTTGGAACATGAGTTTAGCTCTCTTTCAGAAGTCCAACTATCAGGTGGAGCAAAAGGATGCCGAGTGATACTTTATTATGAAACAGTCTGAAAATCGTCGAGGAGGTGGTGTTGCTATATTCTATAAAAAATCCTTACATCTAAAAAATATCCAAGTTACCCAGGAGCTTGCCCTTCCTGAAACCATCATCTGTGAACTATCCTTAAATATCACAATTCAATTCTTACTATGTTACAGAGCACCTGATTATGACATCGAACATGTAAACAAGCTAAATACATTACTAACATGGGCTGCATCCTGCCCATACCCTTTTATCCTTCTTGGTGATTTCAATCTACCTCATATTGACTGGACCCTAAATGACTGTACAACTGAAATCATACACACAACCTTCTATAATGCTATTACAAATCTGGGACTGGAACAACTAGTAACCAACAACACTAGACTAAACAACTGCCTCGATCTCATCTTCTGCAATAGTTTGAATTTAATTTACGGAATACAAACTAAAGAACCCTTTTCCAGTAGTGACCACAATATGATTGACTTTTGTCTCAACATACGTCCACACAAAAATCACCACAATGATGTAATCCCCAATTGTAACTTCAAAAAAGGCAACTATGATCTTATAGACAACGATCTCTCATCCCTTGATTGGCAATCTCTATTCACTGGATGCAATACTGTTGAAGACCATTACAACATATTTTTACTTGAAGTCAAAAGAATCATCAAACTATATGTTCCAACAACAACTCCCAAAACAAAACAAAAAAGCAGATTACCCATATCAATAAGGAAACTTCAATCCAAAAAGAGATCACTCTGGCGGAAAAACAAATCTGGTCACGTTGCCAATTTCAAAAACCGATACAAAAATTTATGCCACCAGATAAAGACCGAATGCACCAATTATCACATTAAACAAGAGGAAAACCTTCTAAGCACCAATTCCACCCGTGCTTTTTACAATTTTGTAAACAACAAACTAAAAGACTCAAGGTCCATCCCTCCCTTGATAGGACCTGATGGTAAAGACTGCAACGACGACACCATTAAATCCAACATCTTTAACACATTCTTCGGCTCAGTATTTGTAAACAGCAATGGATCATGCCCAGTATTTCCTAGCCGTACCACAGATAACAACAATGATCTAATACATATCGATTTCACAGAAGACAATGTTGAAAAATCACTACGCAATCTAAAACCATCTCTATCTATTGGACCGGATGGAATATGTGCCTACTTCTTAAGAAAGCTATCCACTGCCATAGCCAAACCTCTAAGCATAATCTTTGAAAAATCTTTCAGAACCAGCTCCTTGCCCAACCTATGGTTACAAGCCACAGTCATCCCTATCTTCAAAAAGGGAGACCCAAGCCTAGTTGAAAATTACAGACCAATCTCCTTATGCTGCGTCACCTGTAAAGTCATGGAATCAATTATTAACCAATCCATTATCCTCCACTTAGAGACAAACAACCTACTCTCCAATAAACAATTTGGTTTCAGAAAAAAACTATCCTGTAATCTGCAACTCTTACACTGCAAAAACATATGGACGACACAACTCGACCAGGGCAAAGCAATAGACGCAATCTACATAGACTTCTGTAAAGCCTTTGATTCAGTGGTACACGACAAACTACTCCTAAAAATAAAATCCTATGGTATCTCTGGACAACTGAATAACTGGATAGAAGCATTCCTGTCAAACAGACAACAAATGGTCAAAATCGGGAACGTCCTATCAAATCCAGTACCTGTCAATAGTGGTGTCCCCCAGGGCAGTGTTCTAGGACCAACTCTCTTCATACCCTACATAAATGACCTCTGCGATCATATTAAGAGCAATTGCGTTCTTTTCGCTGATGATGTAAAGCTGTTCAATACCACAGACAATACTGCTACCCTTCAAAAAGATCTCGACTATGTATCTGAATGGTCAAACAAATGGCAACTTCAAATCTCAACAAATAAATGCTCTGTCTTACATATTGGCAAAAAAAATCAGAAAATAAAATACAAGCTGAATAGTCAAGAACTTGTTGATGACCCAAGCTCTGTAAAGGACCTTGGAATACTCACCTCTAATGATCTAAGTGCTAGAGCCCACTGCAACTACATAGCCAAAAAGGCATTAAGAGTTGTTAACCTAATCCTACGTAGCTTTTTCTCTGGTAATATCACACTACTAACCAGAGCATACAAAACATTTGCTAGACCAATACTCGAATACAGTTCATCAGTCTGGAACCCTCATTACGTATCTGATATTAGCACAAT